AGTAGTACTATGCTACTGTAATTTTCTTAGATTTTTATAAGCACCAGAAATATAGGTTGCTGTTGTAGCCCTAGTTTCAAATGAAATAAAATAATCCTCTTTAATGCAAGTTAGTTAATAATGTGATCTTTGGTGTATCTTTGAAGCATTTAATAAGATGTATTGACTGAACCTATTGGTAGTAGTAGAGAATGCAGTAGATGACATGTGCTTGTGGTATATTTTCTTGGATGATGTGACTATCTTGCATTCGAACATATCCATTGTATTCATCTCATCCGATGCACCGATTGCATAGGCACTTACACGCATTGCATCATACAGGATCGCAAACCGAGAACCCAGTCGTCATTCCCGAGGAGCCCGAGGAGCAGTTCGAGGTGCAGCCGCAGGAAGTGCCAGAAGCCGACGAGGAGGACGTTGAGGAACTTCCGGAGTGCCCCGATCACCGTCCGAGCTCCTTCGAGACAGGCAAGCCCCGGAGCATTTTTCTCCCGGTTTGCAATGATTTAATTAAATACTTTACTTTAAATTGATGCATTACGTTCAGGAGTTGTTTGCAACCGTTGCTGCATTATACCTTGTTTACCTTTGTTATACTATATCCTTGTTACCCTGGTATCCGTAGTCGAGTCAATGCTTAGCTGGCTTAGACCGGTAGAAGTCGGGTGATTTCCTGTCACCTGCGAGCTATAGGTGGTTACCTGGATCTGCTTGGATGACTATGAAGTCATGGTATAACTAAGTGTTAAATGAAGTTGAGACCGGACGGAGACTTGCAGAGTTTTGGACTGTAGTGTTTTCCGTCTGTGTCGATTAAGGACCGGCCGTTGTTGGGCCTCGAGTCATGTTGAACGCATGCCTTACATTTAGCTGACCGGATAAAGTACCTTCCGACCGCGAAGCTGGGAGGTTTTTCGGGCCGAGTAGATTGCCCGCAACGCACTGTGCCGGAGCAGGTGTGGTAGGACACGGGGGCGGGATGATAAGACCAAAGTGCAGTCGGTCGGCCCCCGGGTACATGTGGTTCCTGACAAACTCGAGATTCCTAGAAAGTTGACTCAGTGATCAATATCTCACTTTAGCGGGTGAGTGAGGTTTGTGTAAGGAATAAATCACCAGCTGGTTAGGAATCGATTCGAATCGCCATCGCTCCTGGATAGTGAGCACTTGACTTGAGTGACTTCATCGTAGTAAATGTTTATGGAACACTTGGACATTTATAATGAATATGACAGTATGAAAGTTGTTTAATGATCATTGGTTATCATTATCTGCTTAATCACTTGTTTACTCTAGTATAGGTGCAAATCTAGTCGACAGGTTAATAATAATTAACTTGGCAATAATGCTTTTCGAAAAGTTCTTGAAATGCTAAAAATGCTTCTTTTGCAAATGAGTCAGCTACCCTACTATAAAGCCTTCATAATTCTTGGTGTCATTTATTTTCGGTTATGTCGGGTAAGTCTAGCTGAGTACCTTCTCGTACTCAGGGTTTTATTCCCACTTGTTGCAGATGGGCAGATGTATTACGGCTATTGTATCAACTGCCTTTATCCTGTGATGGGTGATGCTTAGGACCATGGGCATGGTCATTCCTTATGTCTCATCTAATGCTTTTGTTGGAGATGATCATTCGCTGGCACTATATTTGAACTCCGCGTGAGTGTGTGTGGTTTGAACAAATGGCTTCCGCTACTTTTATTCGAACTGGTTTTGTAATAACTATGTTTAAACTCTGATGTATCTGAGATTGTGAACTTTTATGTAATATGTGATGGTGACCGCTAAACTTATTACGATCTTGGCTGGAATGGAAGTTGGTTTGAAATCCTTCGTGATTTCACGGACTACCGGGTTATACGGGCTTAAGTTTGCTCAATCGTCTGCTCTGGCGGATGATTTTCTTACTTAATTTCGTATAATTGGTCGGTTCTGTTACATTCATGTGCTTGAATTGCCTTGATTTCTGTGCCGGTAAGAAAAACCTTGCTACCCCGAGAGAGCCAAAATGGATCACTTGTCTGGCAAGCGTCTCATGGCGCGCGCTATCTAGGCAAGGCGAGGTGAGCCGAACCAGCAAAGCTTTCAAGCACGCTCAACGTTAATTTGGTGTCGTAAAAGTTAGTGTATTCTTTTATATGGTTCAGATCATAGAAATTTGATTCACTATAAAGTTAAAATAAACTATAATTTCAACAGATGGAGTGATAACTAACAAAATAAAAAGAAAAATCTAGCCTACAGGATCCATCAACCTTTTTTGCGAAGGGAAGAGGGATTATACTAAAACTTGGCTTTTTTGCAAAGGGAAGGATGATTATATTAAAGCTCGGCATAGTACATCGTCAAATTACACATGAAAAAATCTAAAATAAAGAATACATAATATGCTATCTAGCTTATTTGATCGTCTTCTTCACCAATAGCTTCCCTCGAACGCCGGAGTTAAAGTGCAGTCCTTATACCGAATCCAACGACCAACCCAAAAATATTAGACATGGCCTATGTATTCTTCTTTCTCGTTCCCCTCTTCAATGCTACTGCCTCGACCCTTTAGGTTTTCTCACGGGTGATTCCTCTAGCGCACATCTCCGCATGTCTTTCGACCATGGCCCTCTCTTCACAGATCGTACAAGGATCCCTACACCTAGCCCCTATTGTCCCTGATGCATCTTGTGTGAGGATTGTAATGGTAGTCTATTGTTTTTGTAGTTCTCGTGCGTAGCTCTTGGTGGTGGACGTCCTCCAAGATCAAGTGTTTTTTTCTTGAAGTTGTTTGATGCAGCAAAGGTTATTGTTGTCGTACTAGTTCTAGTCATGGTTCATTTTGATCGTTCACGTGCAGTGAGGCTCTTCATTCCCCGACCATCACTGGCAGCTCCTGATCGTGGTCCCATCTTCCTAATAGTCTCCACGAGAGCGTATTTTATTGACGTGTGTACCCGGTTGGGTTCGAGACATTGTTGTCAAGAATTGGTGTGGGAGAGAGATGAGAGAGTAATTATTTTGTTTATTCCTCCGGATGCTCTCTTGGAAGTAGAGCCATCGCATGGTATATGTTACTTGGTGGTTCTGCAATGTCTACGATCCGGTATTGTGACTACATTTACTACCTTACCGTCCACTTTTGGAGAACCTTACAAGTGTAATGGCATTTATATACCTATATAAAAATTTCAAAACGATGACATCTTATTCATTCAATTCCATTGTTACATGCCATAGCACCATGTTATCATGGGGACGGGACCTTATAAATAGAGTTTCAAGCCCAATGTGGACCCACAAATTTGGGCTTTCGGTCTATCTGCATCAAACCGATCGGTTATTTGGTTGTTTTAGAAGTTCAATTATCTAAAAACAAAGATCGATCGGATAGTTTTAGGACTCAGGACGATACCCAGCAAGTTTGGTTCAGTCTCGGCCATGACCGAATTAATTGGACTAGACTACCGACCACAAAATAGCATAATTTTGTAGCAAATTCCAACAATATTTATTTTTATGTATTTGAAGGCAAAAATGTTAGGACAAAGCAAACTAACAGGAGTGATAGCTGATACAAATATTACATCACTAGTCCACAGAATAACAGCGCAAAGTAGTATAGCTTAATATTGTTACTTTGGCCTTGGTTTTGTTGGGGGAAAAAAGAAAAAGAAAAAGAAGCCCAAGCCCAAGCCCAAGCTAGTGGACGGGAGGGGAGGAAAAGGAAGGGCGGAACAGGCGACGGAGTGACCTCGTCATCAGGTGTCCCGTGCCGTCTTCTCTTCCCCCCCTCACGTTCTCGTCTCCGTCGCCGTCTCTCTCTTCTGTGTGTGTCCCCGCGAGGAAGCGGAACACCCAACCCAACACGCCTGCCTTCCTCCCTCCTTCCCCCCTCCAGATCCAGCCTCCCCCTTCCCCTTCCCCTTCCTCCCTCCGTCGCCCTCCTCCTCTGCTGCGTTCCTCTTCCTCCGTGGAGTCCGCACCCGCCGCCCCCAATTCGGCCGGGACCCTTCGATTCGCTTCGACCTCCCTCGTGTTTGGTTGGTAAGAAACCCTAACCTAACTTAACCTAGCTTTATCATGTTTTTCCCCCCTTCTATCTATTTCCGTTCCTCGTCTCCGGCGGCACATCCTCTTCCTCTCTGCTTGCGACGCCTCTAGCCTTCCCTGCATGCTGCAAATTTTTTTCTGCGTAGAGGAGAGGTCGCCTCGCCCCCGGTTCTAGCTCAATCCCCATGCCTCACGCACGTTCTCGATCCATTCAATTTTCCATTCCCTAGATGTATGTACCGTGTATCATTTTTTTTTAACCCATCCATCCAAATGGAACGCCTCTCTTTTCTCTCGGCGCCGCACAAACCACATGTTTATTTCTACACCCTTGTTTCTTCTCTCCACGCATTTCATTTCGCCGCCTACATCTCATTTTGTTTCTCCGAAATCATGCAACCCTTAGTTAGGGTCACCCACCGGCCACAGATATAGTATGTATTTACTTACTCTCAAAATTAGCAAGCGACCAAAGCCTCTTTTTTGTTTCGAGTCTTAATTGCCCTAAAAAAACACTGCAGGACATTGCTCAGTTTGTGCTGCTACTTTCTATTGCGCAGGGAAACCTCAACGCTGGCGAGTCGGTCATCACTGTTGAAGGCCATGATATCACTCTGCCAGGGCACCACAGGTATTCCAACCTCTTACCATCCTGTCCTGCTCCAGTTTTTCGTTACTTGCTCTATATAATTTACATACATATATAATAATAAAATCAGTATTTGCCCATCATTATTACTATCCAATATCCATGTCATTCTTATAGACAGATTATTCTTTTCTCACGCTCGCTCTGTCCGTATTATTACCTGTTACTCACTCAACTCCTTTGCTCCGTTCAGGAAATTTTGGCAAAACTGAATGAATGAGTTTTGGTCAGCTTGGGACCCAACACAGAATAATACAATTCGGTCCCAGGGTGAAGTAGCAGAACGGTGACAAAGATTGCTCAGCGCACCATGCTTGAGGATTTCTTCACTCTTACTGAGATGAAGGATGGCATCTCCACGGTCGCAAGGATCGCAGAGCTCATATCTGAGATGCACAAGCTGGAAGACTCCGCCGACATCAACACGTCTGACGTGATAAGGCAGTGCTCCACGGCTGCCAACACACTAGCATCCACCAAAAACGAAGAGTGTCTTCAGCATTTCGTTCAGCTAAACGGTGTTTCCTTTCTCAACCGTTGGCTTCAGGATGCTCAAAAATGTGTTGGGGACGTCAGCAGTTCAGCGGAGGATCTTATAGTTGCCATATTGACTGCGTTGGAGTGTCTTCCAATCAGCAATGAGCAGTCAGCCTCCTGTAGAGTTATGCCTACTGTTGATCACCTGCTTGCTCACGGGAATGCCATGATCAACCAAAAGCGAGAGCACTCCGTCACAAGTGAGCGCTGTACCAAAACATGGTACAAATGGAGAGCATTTTCATGCAGAGGAGGCATGCCGGACTGATCAGCTTAAGTCTCCAGAACCTAGCCACAAGACAGAAACTAAGAAACAGAGTGTAGCGGATCAAGATGGAGAGCCTGCTGAAGAATCAAAACCTGAGGCGACAACTTGCTCAGATGCACCTTTGTCCGATCCTTCTCTGACTAATGACAATACAGATGCAACAAAGCAACCACCGGGGCTAACATCACCGAATTCATCAAATGGAAACACAGAATTAGGGGATGTGAAAAAACTTGGTCACATCCCCTACATCTGCAGGTCATGTGGGTTTACAAGATGGGCAGTCCACCACCAAGGGAACTTCTTCCAATGATGCAGAACTGCCCACTAATGGCATACTCCCGGTCAAACTCTATTAATGCAAAGAGTGATACTGGACAAGATGCACCGGTGGACTCGACTCCAGCAGCCATGTCTGTAGACCATAATAAACCTGACAAGCTATTTGCTAGTAGCAAAACAGGTCTGGAGGATAGTATTGTTTCAGCTAGCTCGGGTATCAAAGAGTCTGAGCCATTTGCAGCTGGTAGGTTACATTTGGAGAAGGATACAACTGAAACTTTGAACCAACTTGCAGCTGTAACCCGTGATTTGCAAGATCTGTCCGAGGAAAGTACAGGCAAAGAAGATGAACCTACATCATCATCTAGTACAGATGATATGGACATGAGCAGTGACTATATATTGCAAAGATGTATGTCAAGCTTTGGGGACTCCTCCAAGGCAACAGACACAAAATCCACTGCCTTGAAAGGGAGAAATCAACACGACTGACAGATTACGATGATACAGATGCACTAGAAGTAGCACGTCTGGTAGCTATTGAGGTGGAGCGGGAGGTTATTGACTACAGAGGACCCTTTTGTAGTTCTCCTGATACTAATTCCAGGAATGCTGACAGTCCTGACCTGGAAGCACCGCGGCAGCCTGTAGCTGTTGCCAGTGAACTGAATGATAATAAATCTTCTTGTACAGAGGCTAAGTCAGGAAGTTCCTCATCTCATAAGGAGGATGGATCAGGCATCACAGATGGCAGCGGTCCGTTGAGTAGAAAACATACACGGGTGTGGATCTGGGGAACTTAGACCTTAATGAAAATCAGTGTGCCGAGGAAACTGACTGTAATCCAAAGTCCGTCCTTAGTAATTCTGTCAATTTGTCAATGCCTATAGCTGTGGCTGCTTCAAGAGGCTCATCTGTGTTTCCAGCTCGGCTCCACTTTGAAGGTGGACTTGGGTGGAAAGGCTCTGCCGCAACCAGTGCCTTTCGACCAGCTTCACCTCGGAGGACTCCTGATGCAGAGAAGTCGCTTTCAGCTTCTTCACATAAAACAAGCAACATGCTATTTGATTTAAATGTAGCTGACAGCGATAGTGCTACTTCTGGTGAACCACTCTCAACAGCAATCCTGCCTACTTCTTGTGACCTACCTTCCAAGGGTGCTTCCAAAGCAGTTGGTATGAGCGGAGGACTGAAACTTGACCTTAATTTCTCATGTGGTGATGAGGAAGATGCTGTCACTGCAAGCAATGTGCCGCCATTGTGGAATCGCCAACAATTTAATGGCAACTGGAGTCAGCCTTCTTCCTCCTCATCTTCAAGGCAACCTGCAGTCAGAAACTTTGACTTGAATGACATGTCAATCGCTGATGGTTCTGTGCGAGGAATGGATGGGTCTTCTGTCAAGACTCCTTCAAGGGATATGTCGAACCATTCTGCCGTCACAATTATGGGTAAGAGGATAGTTGTAGGGCAGAAAGAACATGGGCAGCAATACCAGCATAACTTTCTGGGACCAAGTGCTGAATCAAGAGTTCCTCCAAGACCTACTCAGTCTTTTGCACATACTCCTGATTATAGTGTTTTCAGTTATCCATCTCAACCTGCTATGCCTTTTCCCCCAGCCTTCTTTGCCCCTGGGGGCAGTCCGTACTTGGTTGATGCAAAGGGTGCACCAGTCATACCACCGCTGTCAGGTCTAAGCCTCGGCATTTCTCATCCATCTTTCAGCCCCAGAGCAACACCACCCTCATCTAATGAATTGAGTTACTTTCATCCTAGCATGGATTTCAATTATGGAGTGCCATCTGAAGGCGCACGGAGGGAGGCAGGGAGCTACTGGCCCGTGTCCTACCAGGGCCAGACAATGTTTGTGGATGAACGCATGAGGAATGTGTCACAGGGTGGTAGTTCTGGGTTGGTGCTGAAACGAAAAGAGCCAGAGTCAGGTTGGGATATGTACTGCGTCGTTGAGCCTGAAGGTTTGTTGCAGCCATAATCGATTTTGTCCCGCTTTCTTAAAATGGTATGTTCAATGTTCCGTTTATGGCGGCACCTTGGACATTGTATTCTAGGATATTTCTTTGGCACCTGAAAATGGGTCCAGTTCTATTAGGTCTGAAGACATACACGGAGAACTGAATAAGAGATCAGCTACTGGTAGATTTGAGAGATGTTGACATGGCAAGGACATTGTTAGCTTCTGGAAACCACCTTGTGTAGATCTGGTTCTTTGTGAATGTATTAGCTTTGTTTTAGTTGACATAATATATAGCCAAATTGCTCTCTACGGAGAGCTGAAATTATGTAAATCATCATCGTATAACTCATAGATGAAATGCATCCCTTTTTATCCATCTTCCTTTTTTTCCCAGGGTTGGTGCAAGTTGTACTATGATCAACTATATTGTATATATCATTGTTTGAAGCTGCGCATTCAGGTTTTGTGTCATGTTGCATGCAGATTGAGCTTTAGAAAGTGGGCGTGCATCGGCTGTTAATGTCGGAACCAGTTCTTTGGTTGGTATATGCTACATATATATTAATATAATAGTTGATGTTGCAATCGGCAGTTTCATTGCATGCGGTAGACGATTTTTTTGGATGCGTGGGCTTTGTACCTGCCTGAGATGAAAAAAAAGGGTTCTGGGCTTCTGGCTGCGATTGGCGACATGTGCTTGAGATGGAATCAAAATCAAAGGTACTCCGTACACATGTTTTAGTCAATGTAGGATCGAAAATGAAAAATGACGGAATTACAACCAAACGAATTTCAGGGCTCACCATTCAATCTGAACCAACTGCACAAGAAACGTATATCAGAACAGGATCAAGATTGGGCATCAACCACAAACAGTGCATGTAAATCATTATCATCATCGATCGGTGAAGCTAAACCTATCGGTGATGCGGCGGCCTGACGCTACATGTTGAGATGATGACTGGCACCGAAGAGGAGGCTTCTTCAGTGACCACTTGGCCAGGCTTCTTCAGTAGAGATATATATCTACTCTTTCCGTCCCTAAATAACTGTTGCTGTTGGTGTACTTACCATAAGTTTGACTTGATTTGTAGAAAATACACAGACCATTTGTATCTTTAAATAAATTTATTAAAAAACTAGATTCAAAGATCTTTCAAATGATATTGATTATGTACCATAAATATTAATATTTTTTAATATATATCTAGTCAAAGTTGTTTCTCGGAAAACGAAAACGACAGATATTTAGGAACAGACGAGTAGTTTGCTGCTTCTACTTGGTCAGCAATAGCATCGGCCTTGTAAATCCTCAGAGGTCAGGCCAGGTCACTCCTGTCTTGCTTTTTGTCTCTTTGGACTTTAGGCACCCTCTGCATCCCACCAGCATTTGAATGCCAACATATGAGATCATAATCATCTCAGCGCCAACTGAACTGAATTGCTGGGGCGGGGTTTAGTGAGCATATGTATACTAGCCACTGAATTTTGGTGACATAGCATGCAGTGCTTGTGCACTCAAACACTACAAAGGAGAAGTTGGAGAATCATCTTATCTAGCAGTGATTATTATGCAGATTTGCGTGATGGTCTTGCTACCCCCCTAATCAAACAGAGATTTTGTTTATTATCTAATCTATGTAACAACACAGAGAATACAAGCAGCAGCAGCAGGCCAGCAGCAGCGATCATTATACATGCTTACCCATCCTGCACCTGCCTTTGCTTTCGTTTCTTGTGGATACCATTTGGCACTGGCATCTGGTGATCTTGGCTGGGCCTGACTGCCTCAGCCTCAGGATCATTTAGCAACGCAAGCCTGTCCAGCACGTTTGCATTAGCTGAGCTTTGCCTGAGCCGCTCTTTCAACTCTTCCACCAAAACAATCCCTGTACAGCATCCATAAGTATAAGGTAAGGTCAGGTGTCAGCAATGCAAAATTCACAACTGTATTTTTTTTTCCTAATCCTAATCCATATCAAGGTAGGATTAAAAAGGGATAGCAGGCAAAACAATCTCTTGCAGCATTGCAAAACAATCTCTATCTCTCTGCTGCATATCAAGGTAGGATTAAAAAGGGATAGCAGGCAAAACAATCTCTTGCAGCATTGCAAAACAATCTCTATCTCTCTGCTGCTGCAGCAGCAGCAATAGCAATAGCAGGCAAAACAAATTGGGCAGCAGCACGAGAGAAAATGGCAAATCAATTAAAAAGGGAACATTTATAACATATAATATACAGTAAGATATACCGAGAGCCCGCAGCGCGCGGAGATGGAAGACGGTGTCGGCGAGGGCAGGATGGCCGGCGTTGGTGGCCCGCGTGACGGCCAGCTCCCTCAGGCTCACCAACACATCCTGAACAAAAGGATAACCTCCATTTGGTTACTCGCTAGCTACTCTAGTAGGTAGATTCAGAGTGGGATCGGAACTGCTGCAATCGGCCGGGAATCCATCAGAAATTCACAAGAGCGGTGGTGCGTGGAGTTGCCTTACGAGCTCGGGCTCGGAGAGGGTTTGGAGCCACATCGCGTCTGCTGCAGCTTGCGGCAGCTTGCCCTCCGACTCTGCTGCCTCTGGCCTGGCGGCGGCAGGATCAGGAGGAATTGACCCGCCGGCGGCGCGCGGTGGCGGCATCAACCAAGGGAAGGAAAGGGTCAGAGGAGGAGACGAAGGGGGAGGCGGCTGGGCTGGGTCCCGCCCTACAAACACAACGGGCAGGTTTGTACTTTATTTATGTGGTAGTAATTATTAGCGAGTTTAGGCCTTTAGGGTGCTAAAAACGTATTTCAAGTGTACTATCTAGTACTAGATGAGATCATTGGACAAATTTAAGGAGGGTTGGATAAAAAATAGTTATCAGTCCTACGTGTCATCTCATATATGTAGGCCCTGTTCTCGCTGAAATTTGGGTGTTGCTGCCGATGTTGATTTGTTCCTTCACCGCCCAAAAAGTACCGCTGATAAGTTCTAGCAAGTACATGCCATACGAGTAGTTTAGTTAAAGTTTTAATGATTTCAGCTTCATAATATGGTACGATTTGACTCTAGTCTTCTGCATCAAAATTTTACAATTGACGGCTCAGTAAAATGGGTATCCAAGCAAGAAAAAGAAATGCATAGAGTCATTCACAGCAAAATTTCACTTTAACGTTCATTTCATACTTTATTCCTGTTCGTTTCAAAAGAAGAAAGATATTTCAAAAGAAGAAGAGAGATATGGATCCTGTTGGTTGTGCAGCAAGCACCACAAATAATCAGAATTTGTTGACCATATCAACCACACCACAAATATGAGCAGACAACCGTGCACATCAATCAATCAAATCCATACAGGTCGAGTAAAATAATCAGAATGCAATTCAGCCTGTCAGTAAATCGATAAAAAAGAATTTCCTCTCATTTCTTTTGGTTATTGCTCCTCAACGTTTTTACAGTTGTGCGCCTAAACTCAACCCACAAAGACAGTTAAAACAAGAAGAGACGAAATAAAAAGGTCACCCACAAAGACAGTTAAAACAAAGAAGACAGGGAAAAAAAGGTCAGGATTTTTCTTGTGTAACCCACGTATATCAGTGTCCCTGGTGCATTTCAATTCAAGACCAGGGACAAATAAAGAGAAACAACTGCTCGTTTTGTATAATCATGATGCGCAAGCACCCTCACAGCGCTTGGCAAGCACACATTCCTCTAAGAAGTTGCCCAGCTGAGAAGTATACAGCCCAGGATTGCTCCGGTAATGGTCCACATGGGGCGATGACACAAAGTCGCAAGCCCTCACCTCGTGCCCGGCTTTCCGCTGACCCTCGATGAATGCCTCCACTGATTTCGCTGGGATCACCCTGTCGGCGGAGCTGTATATGTACAATTGGGGGCACTTTGGTTGCTTCGAAGACAAAAGCTCCATCACGTCAGATAACCTCCTGTTAAAAAGGACACCAACATGCTGATGAGCTCAACAGTTGTCACCACTTTATAAGGTCATCTTGTTGCCTTGTGAACCACGTGCATGTACTCCCTCCGTCCAACGAAGAATGCTATTATGGGAAACGTGCTAGTTAATCTAAGTTCAACTTTGAACAAGTTTATAGCAAATAATATTAGCATTTATGTCTCCAACTAAACTTATTATGAAAATATATTCTATAACTAATCTAATGGTACTTATTTTGTTTCATGAGTATTAGTATCTTTTTATATAATTTTAGTCAAAGTATAAACTGTTTGACTCCTCAAAATGCGAGAATTGCATTTTTTTTGGACGGAGGTAGTATACTTTACTCTTGATGCAATGTCAACTACCACAGAGATATGTCATGGTATGGTGGACGATGACGTGACTGTACAGCCATTCAGAAATTTAATTATTTAACTTTCATGAGGTGAGCAGTTAGTTAGAGGTCACAGATGTCCCCATCCCCGCTTAAAGGGCTACACAATTGAAGAGGGCTTATTAAAGATAAGACTGAAACCCAATGGTTTGCTGCAGACGTGGGCAAGATGTGTACCTGTTGATCTTTGGATAGTTCAAAACAACATCAAAGAAACTCTCCAGCGCTGACAGTAGAACCGCCTCTGTTGCTCCCAGCTTGGGCTCCTTGTTAGACTCCACAACTAGGACATCAGACCTTGAATCGTCTGATCCTAGTCCCTTTGTGGTGACACTACGTTTTTTCATGAGGGCAGCCGAGAAGCCCAAAGCCCAAACCTGAATTCAGAAAACAGCACAAACAGATTTGTTAATCTACAGCAAACATGATAAAAGAAGCAAATGGCTAAATACTAGCACGAGTGAAAGAAGGGGAAAAAAAAAGAATGATGGAACTTTTGTCTGCCATACAAATGCAATTCAGATGGGAACTGAAGAATGCAGATGACAAGTTGTAAATAACAGCTCCAAGAACTAGCAAAGAGCTAAATGAGTCTAGCTAAACTTTGTACCTGAGGATCAGGTGCAGCAACAGGTGCTGAGTCTACTACACAAGCTTTAATTTTGTCCACTGCTGAAGGATCCTGCTGATGCAAGTTCTCTAGAATTACGCCATAGCTGCAATGTTTAAACAATGAAGAAATTAAGCATTAAAAACCATGATGAGAGATCATTATTGATGAATGATGAAAGAAATCCAGGAGAACGAGTATTGTACCAAAGCCAACCAGTATTACTGAAGGTGTGGAAAATAATCTTCTTCCCACTCTCCTCCCTGACCCAGTCAGCAAGATGTTCAGATAGCATCTCAACATTCTTCTCAGCCTTCCCTCCAAGGTTATAACTGACAATGTCAGACATCGGGAGGGTGAAGGTGACGACATGGAAGCCCCTGGAGGTGTACCAATCGGCATATCTCTTGAGATGCTTCTGCCTTGAGCCCAGCCACCCAAGAAGGACCACGACCGTCTGAGACTTGTCAGGGAAGTCGGCACAGACCCTGGGGTCTGGCAGGTGCCAGCGGTACAGCACATCGGACGGCGAGGAAGGAATCGCAGGCATCGCATCAGCCTGTCCCGAGGTCTTGGGAAAGTTTGCATACTGATAAAAGTTTGCATACTGATAAACCGTCTGCATGACCGGCAGAGACGCGAAGGGCGCCTCCAAAAGACGCAAGCTGTGGAGGTCGCGTGGCAGCAGCTGCGTGCCAGAAAGGGCAGAGGCCGAAGGCGCCGCTGCTGCTAGACCATCTGCCCTGGTCGACGGAAGCGACCCTAGCGCGTCGGCGCTCGTGCTCGCATCAGAAAGCCTGTGGTGGGACAACTTGTCGGGAAGCTCGTGGGAGGAGACGGCGGCAAAGGCGGCCACGGCCATGGCGGAGAGGGGGCGGTGGAGGTGTCCCGAGAAGGAAGCCATCGTGGGGCGCGTGGAGCCGAACCTCTCAGCAGGAATGATACTCTTGTATTGTGACAGGCCAAGGAGGAAACCTGTGCACGTTATTTATGTCTCCGCAGCCTGCCCTGCTTGAAAGGAGGAAGAAACAACAAGGCTTAGCTGCTGCCTGTCCTAACACGCGGTTTGCATAAATTGAATTGAATTGATTCGATTTTTCTTTCTTTCTTTCTTTTTTGAAGGAAAGAAGAAGAATCATGTGTAGTGTAGCCAAGTGGGACTTGGAACAAGTCTGTCTGCCACGTTATTTATGTGTTGCACATTTGACCCCGAGAAGGGGACCGAAGAATCATGTGTGGTGTGGTGGAGACGTCTTTGTCATGGTCAACAAACAATACGGCAGAACTGAAAAAAAAGATACATATATACTGTAGGAAGTAACAGGAAGGGGAGATGATGATTTACCTCCTCCCTGTTGCTGTTGTAGATGATTTATTTAGCACCGGTGGAGTTGGAATTGGACACGGGCTGGCTGAATTTGACAGCCGAGCCCGGTAGTTGGCAGCAACTCCAAGTGGTGTCAGCTTCTTCCTGAATTTATTAGGAGGAGAAAAAGCATTGAGCAAGCCATTAGAATTTAGAAAGGGGGAAAAAGCATCAAGCAAGTCATCAGAGGTAAAGAAAACAAAATCAGGTTACGCATACGAGAGTTGGCGATTTGCAGAGGTGTAGGAGGAGGAAGAGGAAAAGAAAAGGAAAGAAAAAACGAGAGTCAGCACGGGGGGGGATCGAAAGCGAGGGCGGCGGAAAAGGACGACGCTGTCTTTCTCTTTTGCTTTCGTCTCCCTCCACAATCGCCGGGAGACGAGCCGGGGAAGGAACGAGTTACTTGTTCCAGGAAAGCAGGAACCCAACCCCCACCGCCTACCTCACGGGAGGGGAGGGAGATTGCAGAGGGGGCCGGGAAGAGATTGGATTGGTTGAATGAAAACGCGTGGGGTTGGGTACGGATGTGGAAATCTGGGCTGGGGGGAGAGAGCGAGAGAGACTTGATTTGATTCATTCATGGTGGTGCGTGCAAGCAAGGAAGCAAGAAACGAGGGGGGATGAGAGAGAGAGAGGAGGGATACGTACCAGGGCAGGGCAGCGGGGAGGAAGAAGACGGAGGAAATCTAGCTAATGCTATATAGTCAGTCTATGAACGCAAGGGGAGGGAGGAGAGGACCAAAATAGGGAAGGGGGAGGTGAGGAAGGGGAGAAGGAAGGAGATAGCCTCCACGCATCCCACGAGGCAAGGGCAACAGGGCAGGGGGAGGCCTGGCCGGTGGTGACGGCGCCCCAGCCCCAGCCCCAGCCCCACCCAAGGCAAGGCTACTCCGACCGAATCTCCGCGGAATCTCCACCTCCTCCTCTCGCCTCTCTGATGATGGTGACGACCGCAATATGTGGGCCCGTCTTCCCCCCGGATGGGAACGTGGGATGGGCTGGACCGGGCCGGAACCAATCGAATATCCATTTAGAAATCCTGAGATGAGAATGGAATGGTTCCTCCTCCTCCGGGAAGGGAATCTAGGATATTCCCCTCCCCTCCACTCCCCTAGTCCCCTTCCTTGGTGATTTTTTTTTTATTTTAACCTTTTTTCTAAACAAATTTTAAAATTAACACAGTTGCTTTTTTTTTTTACTTCCAACCCGTTTGGCCGCACATACTGCCGTGACGCGGCCAAAGTGAGCTCCCGCGCCGGACGCATGGCACGTCACGGCTGCCATCGTGGGCGTCAGTGCCCGACAGACTTTTGTCCTGTTCGCTTGGCTGATAAGCCATGACTGAAAGTACTGTTGGCTGATTTATTGTGAGAGAAAAATATTGTACGTTGACTGAAAAAGTAGGGCTTATAAGCCAAGTGAACGGAACGTTTGTGACGTGCCTTACGTATGCCTGACTTGCCAAAGTTGGAGGTTGTCATAGCCTATTTAATTTAAGATGCTTTCCTTTCTTGGAGAAGCTCACGATCAAGGTGCCTTCCTGTTGCAAGCCATTCTTTTTTACCGCCAGATTTAATTTAATTATATTCATTCATGAGTAAAATGTATGCACCATATAGTCCTTGAACATCTCCAAATGTAGGATCATGAATGAACTTCTGTTTTGCATAAGTGGTTCGCTAGAGGCCCAAATCTTCTTAAGCAACATTGATTCACCTGCATGGTATACATGGTCAATATCCCATGTAGCCCGTTTCAAGGGATGTTTGGACCTCAACCGATCCATTTAGCAAGCTTAGGGATACATATATGCATTAATAGTTCAGGGACCTAAGCGACACATTGGAACAAGTTTGAGTTACTCTTAATTCGCCACCCACTGCTGGCTTGTATAATATGTTGGTGTTATTTTCAGTTCGACTGTTTACACCAGCTGGAAGATGACCGGTCCGAAAGACGCTGTGCACTGCGATCCATCTGCTTCGCTTGGCTGATAAGCCATGCTGAAAAGTATTGTTTGCTGATTTGTTGTGAGAGAAAAACACTGTTCGTTCGTTGAAAAAGTACGGCTCATAAGATAAGACAAGCGAACAGAGGAGAGAAGCCACAGGTTGATTTCGCAAAGTTCTTTGTTGAGAGAGCCAGGTTCCTTGAGGTCATGAAGTTCTGTGTCAATGGATGTTGCACTCCAGAATGGCTCGAAGACCATTGCAGGCAGCTCAATATTGAGAACAGAGCCTCAAGATGTGCTCTGTTTCCTTTCGTGCTCCAGCACGAGTTGCCCGTATATTTCGGACGGATGATGGTGTCCTCTCTAGAGAAGACCCCTTCGTAGACTGTACGACCTGATGACGGCCTCTTGTTCTCGCGTGATGATGGTGTCTCGTTCTCGTCGCCAGTTCCATACTCCTCCATACAACTAGAAGGAATGTACAGCCAGCTCCAACGATGTCGTTGTTTTGTTTAATTCTGTATCTTTATTTAAGTGTTGCTACCAGCGGATCGGCAACGGCAATTATTGTATCAACATCTTTTGTTGCTTTACCGATTGTGAACTAGTGAAATCAGTGTTGTGCTGTGCAAATATTCTTTGCACCATGTGTGCTTACCTGATTCTGTTTTATTGCCCCCTCTGTACACTTATCTCTGGTCAAGAATACTTTCGTTTTTCATTTTTGTACTGTTTGAGCTGCTATTGACCATGTTCTATCAGAATATAATTATGGATATGTTAAAGTTTGAAAAATACTAGAAGTGATTTTCCAGACATATTTGACTTTATTTCTTACGTTTCACGTTAAATTATTTATAGTTTATAATTCATTTTCAAAAGAAGTTCTAAAGTTTTGACTATAATCAAAGTTCAATTTTTTTTACAGGTCTTGTCCAGAACATGTCAATTGTCTGTCAATTATTTGTGACATACTAAAGTAGTTGATTAACATTGAAACGGAGTTTGAATTGGTGTTTGCCTTATTCTGGTCTTATCTCCAGATTTACCCTTGCAAAAATAAACTGTTCTCGAATATTTGCTTTCGCGTCCTCTTTTCAGCGACTTCAACTAATGCAGTGCAACTAAAGTGACTCGTCACAAACATGTTACGAGTATTGTCATGGTAATTTGCCTAATCCATCAGCTTCATATTCATTAATCTTTCATGTACCCTTCAAAAAACAATTAATTTCTCGTGTTCTTGCCACTGAATCAATCAGCCACACAAAGGAACAGTGTACAGACAGATGAATGAGAATGGCTAGTTCAGGTGTGCAACCCCATCACCACCTCGAATTGGTCGTGTATGTGTGTGTTCCTACTACAAACAAGTCAGAGACTGACTAACTAATGTAATCAAACGTTTCATAAACTCAGCTTGACAACAGATCAGGGTATCCACATTCTATATCAGTCATCAGACACCAATCAGTCGATGAAAACAGCAGTTTCTGTGCCATCCTCCCAATCCATCCTTCTGTTCAACTGCACATCAATTACGCATTCTTTGCCAACCCATCCTTCTGTACCCAAATGCTGCCATGCATGAGATGTGATTCATCTACATGGGCATTACTCGGCCCAGTCCTCGTCACTATCATCATCTGCGGCATTATCCTGTACCATTTGTAATTACATAGGTAAGTATGCATAGCCTTTGTGCTCAAAATATTAGGTATACGTGATGTAGTGAAATGCACAGTTTCTTGTAAGGAAACTCGCTGCTAAAATGCTACATGTAACAAATAACATGATGCAAAGTTCAGTTCAGCTGATGCAAGCTAGCAATAAACCTGGGAGGAACTTGAGAGCTCTTCGATTTCATCTTCTTCCACCTGTAACACAATGAAATGGCCAAAGGTCCTCAATCAAATATGCATTTATATAGAGAAAGCAAACAATGACCAACACTTGAAATTCATCTACCAAGGGCAAGCAACATAGAATTCCATTAAATGGTACCTTTGGTTTCTTCTTTCCCCGTGTTCCGCTAGCTGCATTCAGAAAACACACTGGTTAGTGTCCCCAGCCTATATATATCAAACTGAAAGCTTATCTCGCGACAACCCTAGAGGTCTTCACTTGTACTAGCCAATGTTTTCCTAAACGGTAAACGGTCTTTACACGGTCGCCCTTCGTTTAACGTTTAGGCTGTTTACACGGTGTTTAAACGAAGTTAAACGGTTTTGTACTTTAAAAAAAAATACATATAATTATATATGTGCATGTAAAAAATCAAGTATTCTAGCATTTATACATATTTATCCGAGTAAAAATCAATTATTTTGGTATGTATATATATTTATGCATGTGAAAAGAACCAAGTATACATATTTATGCATGTAACATATCAAGTGTACACATTTATAAATATAATAAACTTAAGTATACAAATTTATCCATACAAAACTGAACTTGATTTACCTCGTGTTCGCCTAAACAGCCGTTTAAACAGCTGTTTAGCCCGTTTAATGATGTTTATCTCCGTTCCGTTTAGACCGTT